ATGGAAAAATGAATGAATGGAAATCTAAAGTATCTGTAAACTTTCATTAAGATTAATAAAAACTTTAAAAAATATATTCCTTTTGGCTTTAAATGAAATTGAATTAGAAGAGGTCACTCTATTCTATAATGTCTTTTCTTTCAAATATTTTCTTGTTGCTAGTGCTGAAGCCCCTTCGTGGTATCTGGCTTACAGGCCTCTAGGTTTCCACACTTGGGGAAGACAGCTTTTGCCCTTGAGCGGCAGGGGTGTTGGCTTCCACTCTTTCTTGGATACTGGTGTCTCCTCCTACTTCTTTGGCTGTGAGTTGCTTTCAGTCTGTTTTCTGTTATCACAGGGAGAAGTAGATAGGGCACACATAAGTGATCAATTATATTAGCGGAGAATTTTTTAAATCCTATTCTACCTATTCCTATTCTTCCTGTTCTTCCTATTCCACCTCCTCCCTCACCCAGTTATTTATCAAAACTACTTACAACACCTAAATTAACAAATGCAGTTCCGTTTCCCACTGCTGCTGCTGCTGGTGAAGCTGCAAACAGAGGTAGGAGCAAAAGGCAGGCAGCAGGAGGGAGAGAACAAAGATTGGACAGCCTACATGGTGAAGGTCTGAGCTTCTCAACCATCCAGAAAGTTAACTGTGTGTGGAACTCTTCTTCCATATTGCCTGCTGTCTGATCCTCTTATCTGGGCCAACACTTTTTATTCTAGGCAAATGCAGGCAAACTATACATAATGTCCATGGCTCTTACGTAACACCAGGAATGAAAGCATCCTTTTCTTATCACTTTAGTATAAATACAATGCCGAGATTCTTATGTAACTATCATACTTAGCAACCACGGCTCACGTGGTCCCTCTCAATATTCCTTTGAGAGAGATGCAGCTTGTCATCACTAGCCAATCAAAAGACAGAGATTTCAAATAAAGCCAGACAATCTATGTTCTGCAGTGTTTCAGCCAGAAGTGGTGACAGTTATTTTTAATTTGTTACATATTCCATGCCTTGAGTGCCTCCTCACCTCCCCCCCAAATTAATGAAAACCATCCATTCCTGTGTCATGGATGTGCATGAGCCCCAGTGCAGAGAGAGACAGAGACAGAGAGAGAGAGGTTCTTTCAAAATAGATATGACCAGTGTCGTGGTCTCTGGTAATGCATCAGAGCCCGTTTTAAGATGGAAATGGCTATTTTTCCACTTGTGTGGGGCAACAGGGTGGCTCTCTGCCCAAGAAACAGGCTTCTATCTTGATAAGCTACTGTAGCTATTAGGTTTCTATTTCGTGGTGCAAGACAACCACAGGATGTCTTGCTAACTCCGAATGTCCTTAAAGAGACACTAGTGGTTAAAAGAGAAGAAGCAGGGCAGAATTTTAAAGGCAACAACCAATTTTTTTTTCTTACCTCAAACAACAGAGAGATGACAACTAAACCCCATGGCCCTCAAGCCAACTCTGACTCACCATGGTGCCACCAGACGGATAAACGGCCTTGTGGGTTCTTAAGTCTACAGACACTGTAACATCTAAGCTTAGGGACTGTCACATCTTTTCCCCCACACAGCAGCTGGTGGGTTGCAACCACTCACCTTTGGGTTGGTAGTGGAGTGCTTAATCACTGCTCCACCAAGGCTTTTTGACAACTAAATGAACTCTCCAAATTAGGACTCAGTCTTGAGAGACTTTGCTGAAGATGCTTCCATAATCAGCCTGCTCTACTGAATGCTTCCATATATTCCCATGTATTAGTTGTCTTGTGAATGCTGCCTTTTAGTTGGACTCGGACAACCTTCTCTCCTACTTTAATCAGGAAGGCATAGCAATAGCCAAGCATGTTGCTAGCCTATGGAGTCCCTGAGTGGTGCAGTTAGCATCCACTGCTAAACCAAAATGTTATAGGTTCTACCAAAGGCACCTCCGAAGGCATGCTTAGTAATCTACTTTCAGGTCCTTAGAAAGGCTATAGAGCACATCATAAACTGACAGCAACTCAGATGGCAGCAAGTTTTTATACTCATGTGGGGACTGGTCTTCAGGCATGCCCCCAGAGATGGGGGAAGCAGAGCCTCCTTGGGGAGATTGCTTCTACTCTAAGTCAGCACACCTTCCTCTTTTCAACTGAAACATTCCCTGGGATGACAAGCAGGCTTACTGGCTCCAGACGTTACACCCAGTGTGTTGATCTTTCCATGATAACATGTTGACTGTAATAAATTGCAGACATGAGGGAGTCTTGCTTAGGGCTGTCGGGAGCACTGGGCTGGGACTCAGCCTGGCTTCCTGTCTCCCCATGGAGCTTAGATATTTAGTGGATCTATTCATGGCCCTGAAGACTGTATCTGCTCAAAGTGTAGAGGGACCACCAGTGGCGAATTCCCCTCTAGCCCTCATGAACAATACCGATAGTCCCAGATTCTGCTCCAAAGCAAGTGGGCATTTCAGGAGTTGGAATGTGAGAGGATCGTGCACATCTACAAGCACGTCAAGGACTGGGACCCGCTCAAGATTTGGAGGCCCTCCGTCCTCTGGACACCCCGGAGTTGGAGCTCCCTCTGCCACATTCCCTTCCAGCACTAACATCCCATGAGTCTCAGCAGCAGCTCATTTCTGAGGTTGGTCTCCACAGTCTCCAGCCACATTCCTCCAGCGTTACATGTCACTTCACAGACAATTCCCAGGATTCAACAGCATGTGGCAAAAAGTAACTTCATCCCAATCTATTTTTAAAACTATGGAAATGAACCGAACTAAGGAAATGAATTTTTTCCTAAGCCTGCTGTGTCAGTGGGTGCAAGAAGAATACTGGTATTTGAATAAGTGACTTGGTCTCCAGACAAGAAAAAAAACACACCACACAACCCATATTCCCTTCAGTCTCCATGACTCCTGTCCTAGGAGGGATTCTCCTTCTCCCTTCATGAGCATGGAAGTGATTTTTGGGGGAGCGGACAAGCCACTTATTAATATCCTAAGGTCTCTAAGGATGAATTGAATTTTAGCTCTTAAATACTTTAGCTCTTAAATACTTTCAACATCTGATGGAAAAGAACTCTACATTTCTAGCTCAGTGAGGATTTAGCTGCCCTGCCGGCTGCTGGATTCTCCCACTCTTTTACCTACCTTTTTTCCTTTTCTGCAGCACGCCAAAATAAACTATCTTTTCTTGACTTTAAATGAAACTTCTAGAAAAGTGGTGTATGAAAGAGCAGCTTTGCTAAATAGTGTTGCAAAACTCTTAGTATCACAGTTCAGCTGTGTGACTGGCCCATTTATTTGGCTAAATGCCAACTAACAAAGCCACAGAGGTGGTTTTTGATCTTTTGTAGATCAAGTGGCTTCAATCAACTTCTTTCATGGCTCCAATCAACTTCTTTCATGGTTCCAACCTGGACCAGCCAACCTTAAAAAAATGTTGACCAAAGGAATCTGGGTAACAATGTGAATAACAGTTCCTGGTAAAATAACCCTAGGGCTGGTGGTCTTTAATGTCAAGTCAGAAGGTTTCTCTCTAGGTATGGCAGAATCAATGTTCTTTGCTTACTATAGTCCTAATTAATCCCTTAATCCCATTATTTCCCCAGAAAGAAGCTGTTTTAGCATTAAACTGTTGTCTTTTTATGGTTCTTGACTCACTTGCAGCTCCCCTCCTCCAGCCTGCTCCATGCCTGCCTCACCTTACCTTATCTCTCAGCCATCCCTGGGCCATACCTGCTCCCTCCTCTGGCCCCAGATGCTGGGGTCCAGATGTGGAGATGGCAACACTGAGAAGCTGCTGAGACAATGCCATCCACAGGGCTTTAGCAAGGCCTTGGGAAGCTCACCACGGTTAGCCTTGGAGGTAAGAAGAGGCTATGAAGTGGGGTTTAAATGGAATCTCGGCTTTTTCTTTTGTTCATAACCCTAGTATTGTTGTTTTTAGTTCTTTAGTCATCCTGACTCACAGTAACCCCAATTCAAGGGACTGCCTGTGATTTTTCAGAAGCAGATTGCCAGGCCTGTCTTCCAAGCTACCCAGGGGTGGATGTAAACTTCCAACCTTTCAGCTGCTAGGAGTCAAGTGCTTAACCATCTGCCCCACCCATTTGTGACTTCATTTCGTGCTGGGCCTTGGGGAGAGGGCTTACATGCATTACCTTACATAACTCTCATCAGATTCCTGTCCCTCTCGAGCTCTCAAATGTCTGTTTCCTTATTTTCTTGCACACACGCACTGGGCAACAGGGCCCTAATGGTCAGATAAAAAAATAATTAAAAGGAGACTCATAAAAGATAAGCACGTGTCCAAATGAGAAGGAGAAAAGCCTTGGTGAAGGGTATTTAATGTCATAGAGAAACTGTACATCTGGGGCAGAGATGAAGAGACGGAGGCAGGCCAGCTGCGCCTGACCCAGCATCGCATCCTGTCGGGTGCAGAGGCCTCCCTTGATGGAGGAAGTGACAGCAGCAGCAGCACAAGCGTCCTGTCCCTGTGTGGGAGGACAGTGCAGTGTTCACTCAGTACAGTTTAGCCACCTGGAGTTCTGCAGCCCAGATATTCAGTCCATGTCCTTCCTGAAACACCAGGCCAAATGCCCGCCCCCTCCCCACCCGAGGCCCCTGGTGCAGGGAGCTTGTGGCAGGAGCTGTGAAGTCTGGAGGAAGGAGAGTTCTTGCTGGAAAGAGAAGCCTGGGAGTGCAGAGAGGTGCGAGGCTCCTCAGATGTGGTCACCCGGTCAGAGCGGCCATCAGACCACTCCTTATGTTAGGCAAGGAGCCATTCACGTCACCGTAGATTCTGGCCGTGTGTATGGGAGTGAGGGGAGAAGAAAGCACTGGCTTCTTGCTGAACCAATTCGTGTTCTGGGCAAGACTTTCACCACAGCAGTGAGTTCCTGCCACCTTCTGTGGGGTTTCACAGCCTAACGCCTGGGGGCCTGGAGCAGCCCCATACCCACCCCGGGCAAAACCACCTTCCCCATCTAACTCCCACCTCGCTCCTCCAGGCACTCGTGGGGAAGACAGGAAACACTTTCAAGACCCTACAAACCTGAGCGTGTCCACCAGACGGAGAGAAAGAGGCCCTTCCTCCCGCCCACTGGGAGTGGAGGACCAGCCAAGTCCAGTCCTCAGAGATCTCCAGCGTCTCTTAAATAAGCTTTTTCCTTTCCGTTTTCATCTTTTAATTATTTACCATCCATCTATTTATACAAATATAAAATATCTTTATATAGATTTATATAATATAGACTTCTGTGAGACCGAGGGGCAGAGAGGGAAGCTGAGGGAGGGCCTCCCAGGCTATTTGCAGACGTACTGGTCGACGATCTCCGTGCACTTTTTGCACTTGACGAAGCAGCACCAGTGGAACTTGCAGTGGCAGCGCTCCACCTGGACCTTCTTGAACTGGTCGTAGCCCCGGCCGCAGCACATGAGCTCACAGCCGTCCATGCCCTCCGAGGTCTTATTGCACAGGCGGCCCTGCGTGCCCAGCGAGCCGGTGGTCTCATTGCGCAGGCAGTAGTCGGGGCTGGGGTCCACGTAGACCAGGTCCTCCGGGGTGGGCTGGTTGAAGCGGCTGTTGACCAGCTCCAGCTTGCCCTTGCGGGTGATGCGCATGGCCGCCGCGCTGTCGTACTTCTCCTTCAGCTGGTCCCCCACCTTGCGGAACTCGGCCAGCTGGAGCCAGCAGGTCTTGAGGCTGCAGGACCCTGACACGCCGTGGCATTTGCAGGCTACATCTGCCATCTTATACACAGCCTGAGGGAGAGATGGGAGAAGAGAGGACGTGAGGAAGGGAACAGGCCAAGTGCAGAAGAGCCAGAGGTGAGGGAGGCAGTTGTTTGCTTTTTTTTTAAATTTTATTTCATTATTTTTTGTGTGTACCGTCAAATCAGATCTGACTGGTACAGGAAGAGATTGTGCCTCCTTCTCCAGCAGAGCATCTGGTGGATTCGAACTGTGCACCTCTGAGATTGCAGTGTAGCTTCTTGCCACTAGGCCAAGGGAGGCAGTTTTAAAAATATTTCTCCAGAATCCTCAGACTGACAGCTGACCAGAGCACAACTATAAACAAAAGACAGTGTTTGGGGAGACAATGAAACACTGTCTAATCAGCTACAAGGAAAGAATCTGGAGTACTTTCTACTTTATGCACTCAAAAAAATAATATTACAATCAGTATGTGTCAGTTTTACCATCTTAGAAAAAAATGTCTGTCTTGATCAAAGAAACAGATGAAAACCAGGAAAAATGTACCTATTATGAGGCACAAATTAGAAAAAAAAAAATCAAGCCCAGTGGGATTGCAAACCTATTACCAAAACCGATAGCATGGCCCTAGTTAGCCAAAAGCTCTCCCCCAATCCTGCCAAATCCACTAACAACTAATGGATCCTCTTCCCTCACCAATTGGTCATTAACTCCACAGTTATCAGGAGCCACCCATAAACCCCATCATATTTGTAAGCAAGGCCACTTTCCTCCACCCCGGCACCCTAGACATCCCCCTGTGCAAGGCTGTGAGGGTACAGGAAGTAGGGTGAGGCCCTCAGTGAGACCTGACCCACAGGAGCAACTGATTTGAAAGTCAATCCCGCCCCCCCCCCCGAAGTCACTGAAGCACGCCAGTGTGGAAGGGACCTGAACTTGGGTTATCCCAAATCAGAATCTGAAAAGCAGGTGTAGACCAGAAAGCTGCTTACCAAGTGCTTTTCAATGAAAACATACTGATGCATTGTGTGAAACAGCCCTGGCAGCGGGCCCAGAAGTGCAGATGGCAGGATAAAAATGCAAGCCCACTGCAGAACACTTCCTTATGCCACGGCTATTGTCACCAACTGAGTCAGGACTCTCTTTTCAAGGGTTTCTCTTCACTTTCTTTTCAAGAGCCCCCAGATCGCATCTTTATTCTGCTCGAGGCAGAGAACACTGCAGGTGCAAGAAACAGCTTAAACCATCATCAGCTCATATTACTGGTGGCAAAATGCTTCCTGATTTTCTCTTTTTCTGGTAGGAAATTATTCTTGCGATGTTAGGGTGAGGAAATGAAAGACTGAGAGATGCTAAATAACCTGTTCAGGGCCACCCAGGAGGGAATCGGAATGACTCTGCTTTTGCCCTCCAATCTTGGGGCTTTAGAAAGGCTTAGGGGAGAGAAGAGGAAGGCTCCTCCCCAAGGTTAAAAGCACCAGCACTTAGCCAGGGAGCTCCAGGCACAAGGCATAAAGGAACTGACACCCCATTCCAACAGGCACTTCAAAGTCGGAGCCTGTAATTATCCTTCTGGCACAAATCCTCCCGGGTCTGCACAGGCCTGACATTCCTCTGGAAATGGTCCTTGGCTTAGAGAGGGATAGCAAGCATCTGGTGCCGCTGAAAGGAGGAAGCATTAGGTCAAAAATTGTGTACCCTGCCTCTAAGTGACTGAGGGGACAGGATAAGATCTGTGGGAGCAAACACTCAGGGGGATTTGGGGAAGGGGAGTCACAGCAAGAATCCACGGAGCAAGGACAAGAATTCCAGCAAAACAAATCCAAGAGCAGGCAATCCATTGGGCCCTTAAGAGGAGCCTTCAGTCCATGTACCTCTATTACAAAGGCAGTGCAGAGCTGTTATCTGTATTTTTAAAAATTACTTACTGGTGATAATATAGATAAGCTCCTCTTAGAGACAGGGAAAGAATCTCAATTGGGGGCCCTTCCTGCTCTCTGAAACAATGCACAGAATGATTTTTAGCTCTGTATCTTCCCTCTTGCTCCTGATGAAGCCTTTCCTAAGCTCCTCTTCCACTTACATCCGATCATGTGAATGAGTCTGGTGACTAAAAGAAGGACAGAAGAATTTAGAGAGCTTTTATCTGGAAAACGCTTAGAAATTCTTGAGTGACAAAACAATACCAACCCACTAACTAGTCCTGCCATCAGGACTTAAAATGGAGTTGCCGGAGACTCAAAGGCTCGAGGAATGTTTTTCACAGAGCATGATTTACTCTATGATCTAGATGTCAGATCCCAGGTATGCTACTTTGAAAAACGAAAGTCACTGTAAAACCTTAATTAATCCAGGGAATGTGCAATCCTTCCCCCCGCCCCAGTTTAGTCCTTCTCTGTGTAGGTGTGAAGACATGGGAGGTGAATGAATTCTTCTGGCCTCAGATGGTGACTGATGGCCAAGGCCTGTTCACTGGAGATTATAAAAAGTGAGGAGGAGAGGAAGCCAAGAGGTCCCAACCTGGAGCAGACAGAGGCAAAGGGAGAGATAAAGGGCTGTGGACTGAAGTGTGGAGACTGGAGGAAGTGGGGGGCCTGAAGACAGGGAGACAGACAGAGGACTGGGAAGGTGTGTAAGTGAGAAGAGACAGATGGAAGGGAAGGTGCTGGCAGATAAGGGCCCAGAACAAATAAACAAACAAACACTTAAGGGCAATAAAATGAGGAGCCAGCAGAAGTGGGGTCAAGACTGAGAGTGAGATGGGGGAAAACTGTTGTCTCCTTTTCTCCAGAGGGCCCCAGATTAGGATGAATAAATGCCCCCATCACCTCAACATCTGCCACAATCCCACAAAGAAGAGCAGAGACAGAAAACAGCCTCCCATGAATTTGACCTTTTACCAGGAGGGAACAAGGGAACTTCTCCCCCTCCCCACCATGTTCTGTATGTAAATCTCAGGGAAGATTGTAACAAAGAATAGATTTCAGCATCTGTCCTTGGGAACCTTTGCCTAAAGGACAAGACAGAAGAGCTGCAGAAAGAATAGCAGATAACGCTCTCCAAGATGCAAAAGGATTGTTCACCATGGAGATTTTAAGGAATAGGTAGTATTTGAACTGGGATCCTGAAAAGTGGAGGGAATTTGGATATTTAGGTGATAAAGCAAAGCCCTTAACCCCCTGCACTAATCTCTCACCACTCTGCAACACTAGACACCAGAGACTCAGGCTAATGGACTATGAGACAGACATGAATCCCTGGGACCCAGGAAGGGGCCCCACAGGTCCCCTCCGAGTTGATTATCTGGGATGGCTGTGGCCGCTCTGCTCTGGCTTATACAGTCAACCACAAATCAGAACAATGGCTAGAACTCCCCGTATCACCCCATCATCACAGGTGACCCCATACTGACTAAACAAAAGTAGCCTCTGGATATGAGGATGGACGAAGATACTGGGCAAAATGACCAGTTCTAAATATGACTTGATGCTGTCCTAGTGAAGGAGCTTAATTCTCACAGATGTACCTTGTGCTAACCAAAACCCAAATCCGTTGGCCACTGAACTGATTCTACCTCATTTTGATCCTCTAAGATACAGCAAAACTGCCCACTGGGTTGGTTCTCAAGGTGGGAATCTTTCACACCACCAGACTGCCACATCTTTGTCCCAGGGGGCAGCCAATGGGCTCCAATTTACAACCTTTCAGTTAGCAGCCGGGCGCTTAACCCTGGCACCATCTGACTTCCTGCACCTCATGCGACCAAACCCATTCATACAAAAGATATTGATCTGAGATGGGCCTTTATAAATGGTATACAAAGACCTTATTAGAACTATTTCCAGATTGTTACTAAATCACTTACAAGTCAACATCAAACTTCAGAACTTATTTCTTCTCAAGAAATGGCAACTCCCAGTTAAGGGTGATAGGACACATTTTAAGTGGATGGTGATTGTCACTGCACAATATGATACATGTCATTAATGTAAAAAATGTTTAAGTGGAAAATGTTATATACGCACATATTTTTATCCTTTTTTTTTAACCCTTGGTTCTGATTTTTTAATTAATTCTTTGGTCTCACTATAGCACTTCACCTAGGCCACCTGGCTGGCTTAACACAGGTCCAAGTGTGGACAACATTTCAAGCAAAAAGTTTGTGTTCTTTCCTGAGAGGCTGAAGGTTCCCAGGCCGTTTGCTAGGAAGGATATTCCACCCACCCCAGCCCACCCGAGCTCTCAGATCTCAGATTTTCCTAGGGGGGACCCTGATGCACCCACCCTCCCCTCCAGTCCCTATCAACACTGGTTATACTGAACCAGCAAGAGCCTGTGCTTCCTGCAGCAGGCAGGTAGTTTCCTGTGGCAGAGGCCACCAGGGATAGGGACAGCAAAAAAAAGGAATAACCAGAGCGGATGCTCAGAGGTGAAGTCTTCACAGATAAGACTCTTGCAGGCAGAGAAGAAATACACTCTCCAGCCACCAGGAAGGGAAAACTAAAGTTGATGTCGTAAGTTCAGCATGTCAGACATTTAAAAAAAAAAGAAGTTACTATCAAGTTGATTCTGACTCATGACAACTGCCTAGAGTTTTCAATGGCTGGTTTCTCAAAGGAGATTGCCAGGCCTTTCTTCCTAGGTTCCTCTGGGCAGACAGACCTGTATGTCCCTCCATTCAGTCTGCACTTGACTGTTGCCTACTGTTTACATAATACCCACATTCTCCATATACAATTAACCAAACTCACCTCAAAACCTGTATCGTTGCCTCTGCTGAGACTGACAGTCCAGAAGGTAGTACCACAAGTTACTCAAGACTGCTAAGATGCTTGTTTGAGCCTTAAAAAGATGGGTGTCTCATACTTCTCCTGATGTTAAAACCACCTAGTCTAGAAGTGTGTTTGTTGTTAGTATGTGAATGGCCTTTCTGACTGGCTTTCTTGATACGTTTCATAAGGGCTCTTAAAAGTCACCTCTGGTTTTTACCTGTGTCTTTATCAAATCATTAACCCTAGGCGGGGTTTTAAGTCTAAACTTCCAATTGTCTGATTTGTTCACACTATAAACCTGGTAACATAAAGATAGAAACTCATCTACTTCACAGGTCTGGAACTCCAATTCAAACCATCTATCAAAGCTGTATAGGGACAAAGGTCCTGCGTAAACTCTGTGTAACAAATAAAGTTAAAAAAAATAACAAGCACCTGCATTCACTGGGATACAGGGCATTCCGAGATGCATTAGTCCATATGTGGGCATCTGGGTCAGTGAATATAGGTGAGAAGCTCTGTGTTCACAGTAACCTCCCTCCTTGAGGGCGGAGCCACTGCTCACAGCTCTGCCGGAACAGCCCAGTAGCACTGAGCGCTGGGACCCGGCGTGAGGTCCACCTTACCCTGCGGCCCGCCTCGTTGTTCTGCAGGTTCATGAGCACGCGTCCCTGCTCCTCTGATCCCTTGGCAAAGTTCTTCTCCCGCTCCCGGGCATCCACAAATTCCTTAGCAAAGCGGTAGCCGTATTCCACATTGTCCCCACAGCCACCCCACAGCCAGTCCCTGGGGAGGTCCTTGGGACGTGCTGTCCGGCTGCAGCCACATGTGGAAAGCTCCCCCTCGCGGCAGGCCCGGCTGATGGCGTTGACCACGCCCGCAGCACTCACTGCATAGGTGAAGGCAGTCTCCCGGCTACCTGCAGGGAAACAAGACGTGGTGAAGGAGGTCAGCTGGCCCCTTCCCGCCAGGTCCTTCCTCCTCTGCCTCCTCCCAACCCTGACACCACACAGCCTCTGCTGTCTAGATCCCAGTGACTGAAACAATGTGAGAAGGGCATGCTGTCCACTGCCTCCCACAACCCATAGAATTAATGGTTAGAGACATCTCTTCACAACGAGCTGGAAGTTGCCTGCTGGTTACATCTGCCCCATGAGACAATCAGAATCAAACGTGTCCTTCTGGTTGCCCACACTATGACCCATTCCAGGGCATTTCCATGACTGATGACAGATCCGAGGAGGCAGATCTAGGAGGGGAGAGTGGACATTACAGAATTTATGGAACACACGGGACCAACAGAATGAGGCTGAGTCAATGCGCTCAACACGAGGACTTTGTCTCCAAAGCTCAGATTTCTTCCTTCCAGATGCAACTTCTCATCACTCTATGAGCCACAACACGTCTGTCTTCTTTATTGATGCCCTCACCTAGCTAGACAGAGGCAGGGACCAGAAAGACGTGCACTGTCCAGAACAGCCCACGCTGTCCTCTTCCCTCTCTCACAGGGCCCCACGCTGCCCTCGAACCTGTGAGCACCAGGAAATCCCATCAATGGTATCTGTACAATCAGATATTTAAGTCTGGTCCCTGTAATTCAAATTCAGATGCGAACTCATTGCCCTCTTGTCAGAACCAACTCATAGCTGACTCTACAACGGGTTTTCTGGAGGCTGTAATGTAAATCACAAAGGAAGGGACTTCTCCCCTTTCTCCTGTTGAGCTGGTGGTGGATTCAAAGTGCCAGAGAGATGCCACCTTTGGATTAGGAGCCCGGCTCCCCCTGCGCCGCCAGTGTACCCTCCGTGTCTAGTTGAAAAATATGAATAATGTTATCTCTTCGCTGCTACAGTGAGTCACATAAAAAAAAAAAAACACAACACAAACCAACAACACAATCCTCATATGCTATTCGTGGTACTTTCATAAAAAATGTTCTTAAAAAAATAATACTCAGGGGGAGCTCTGGTGGCCTAGTGGCAAGAAACTGCACTGCAATCCCAGAGATATGTGGTTCGAATCCACCAGATGCTCTGCTGGAGAAGGAGGGGCCACCTCCTCCTGTACCAGTCAGATCCAATTTGATGGTACACAAGGACACAAAAATAATAAAAAAAAATACTCATTAGCCAACAGGTGAATGCAAATAAGTATCACAATGAGCCACCCCCTTCATGGCAAATGTTGTTGTTGTGACTGGAGTCAAAATATATTCATAGCTGACCCAGGAGGAGACTGCCCATCTTTCTCCTGCTGAGCAGCTGATGGATTTGAACAGCTCGCCTTTGGGTTCACAGCAGAACTTCTTATTACCAAGCTCCCTGTTCATACTCAACAGGATGGCTGAAATCAAAAGACAGATGCTAGCGAGTTAATGAGACTGTGGAGATGCTGGGACCCTCACGTACAGCTGGTGGAATGCAAAATGATGCAGCTGCACTGGACAGCACTCTGGCAATTTCTTAAAGGTTAAACACAAACTTGCCATCTGACTAGTAATTCTGCTCCTAGACATACACCCAAGAGAAATAAAAGCAAACACCTACACACCTTATACACAAGGTCCTCAGCAGCATTCTCCTAACTGCCCCAGAGTAAAAATCACCCAAAGGTCCATCCACTCAGGACTGAGAACCCCAAAGGCGGACTGGCCAACAATGAAGCATTACTTGGTCAGGAAAAAAAAAATAACAATGCAGTTCTGATAAACAGGATCAATACACACAGACCTTAAAAATATTTTGCAAAGGTAAAAAAAGCAGATCCAAAAGATCATGTACTCTATGACTCCATTATACAAAAATGTCTAGACTAGGCAAACCCACAGTGACAAAAAGTAGACGGGATGCTTTCCAGGAATTGGGGGTAAAAGAAAGGAGCTCTGTGGATGCAGTCTGTAGGAAGCTGTGATTCCAACCCAAAGGTGGCGCCTCTCTGCTGTTTAAACTCCACCAGGGGCTCTGAAGGAGAAGGCCAGGCAATCTCCTCTGGGGTGATTTCAGATAACCCACTGAAGGGTTAGCTATGACTCAGTTTCATCTAGATAGCAGTGACTTTGACTTTTAGGGTCAAGAGACAAATGAAGAGTGACTGCTATTGGCTGTGAGGTCTCCTCAGGTGGTGATGAAAACGGTCTAGAATTTAGATGATGGTGATGGTCACACAGCCTTGTGGATCCACACAAAACCACTTAACTGCACAAAAGGGTGAATTGTATGGTAACCATGGGTTACATTTCAACAATGCCATAATAATAAAGGTCACGCACATGGGTGGGTGAGCTGTGGAGGGAAGAGAGCAGCTTTTTGAAAAATTCTGGACTCAGTCCTGATCCTGGTGAACTCTCTGGCTCTCCCGTTTCCTCTTTTCCTGAGCCTCCAAGGTTGGAAGCTGGGATTTGGCCAGTGGAGAGCGCAGCAGTCTGCAACTAAGAGTGGTCTCGCACCTTGGCCTGTTTCTTTATTACCTAAGCAGAACACCCAGATTGCACTGGGGGAGTCAGTTTTTCCTCAGTCAACCAAGAGTCAGAGTCTGCTTAGTGGTGGAACACGAGTGACCCCAGACACACTGGGATGATGGCAGGAAGTTACATTTGTCTCAGTCATCAGGGCTGATATTTGAACACCCAGCTACAGTCAGAGACCAGGGAGTGGTCCAGGGGAACCAGACGATGGGAGTGAGTATCCAGGATGGTAAGGCAGCCAAAAGGGTTCTGGGGGAAAAGCTTCATCACTACTTGAATGATTCATATCTGGGAACTTTTCCTAAAATACAGCCTCAACCCCCCTGACATAGCATCCGGGAGCAGGAAGGAGCCCTAGCCCAGATCTACATTCCTTCCACTATAAGCATTCTTTTCACAACATTCCTCTGAGAAGCTGGCGGAGTTTTCAAGGCAAACCATCCCATCTTTTTTAAATGATGCTAATCACCAGGATGCTCTTTCTTCTATTACGCTGAAATATGGCTCCTTATAACTTCTGCCTGCTGGAGCGACAATCCCTTTTCCACTTGACAGCCAGCCCTTGAGTGTTTGAAAACAACTAATATGCCTTCTATGTTTTCACTTTTCCAAGCTACATATGTCTGATCTCTACTATTCTTTAGTTTTTAGCAAACATGCTTTACAGAGCTGAATCATTCCTCTCAGAATTGGCCCCCGGTTCTTCACATGCCTTGGAAAGCAATGTGCTGGCAGCGAAACATAATCTACCGTACGTGATGTGCTCTGACATTTCTAGCCCATAGATACGGCCCAGGATCCCCATCTGTCCTCCTGTATGTTAGCTGTCTTGAACAGTCACTTTCTCTGACTCTGGTGGTTGAGGGCAGCACTATGCACCGGGAGTGGGTCGCTCTGCCTGGATGTGGCAGCAGAAACCCAGGTTACTAGTAAAATGTTTCCCCATTGGTACAAGGAAAAGTATTAGTGCCACTCAGCAGGCAGGAGACGACTTCAGGATGGAAAAGCAAAATGAGGAGCTTATCTGCACGTGAAAAAATTCAGAATTGAAGCTCAAACCAAGGATATTGACCAGTAACCCAGCAACCATGGAACCACCAGAGTCCTTATGTTCCCTTCTACCAGGAATACAAGGAGACAGCACCATACCATGCCCTTTCCTGTAACTAGCAGAAAGGTACCTTCACGCTCCCCAAAGTGCCAATGGCTTCTTCTATCTAAGCTGCTCTGCTGCCCTCTGGTGGCTGGCTTTTGCAGCCGCGTCAAGTAGGAAAGGCGTCTGGGGGGGAGTCATACACTAAGATGTCTCACCAGGAGATAGCTACTCTGTCCCACAAAGAGGGTGGAGTGCAGCTTCCCCGGGAGCATAAGCCTGCAGGGAAGTTAATAATAAAGGAGTGGTAAAAGTAAGGCAAATACATGGTCTTACTTTGTAACAGCACAAGGATACAGAGAGACTGAGAGGGTCAGCTTTCACAAAGGACTCCACATACCAACCTGAACCCAGTGGAGAAGTCTCTGTTCCTAAAGGATAGCCAGGTTTTCAAACCTTTTCTCAAGCAAAATAACACAGGAAAAGGTTCCAGCCACATTAGGCACACACTGTAAAGCCTCTGACTCCTGAGACGCCACACGAGTCACGGCAGAAGTGTGCTCCTTCGGTCGGCACAGTGAATGATTTTTCACAAGAAGCCAGACCTTTCTTCTGAGGTGCCTCTGGGCAGACTCAATGACTAGCATTCCATTTAACAGCCAAGTACACTAATCATCTGCACCACCCAGGGATTCCCTGGCATATACTTAATTCTCAGTGAAGATGAACCCCATCAAAAAATCCAAACCTACTACTGTTCAATTGAACCCAACTCCTGGTGACCCTCCACGGGGTTTCTAAGTCTCTGATTTTTTACCGGAAGAGAATGTCCATCTTTCTCCTGTACACTGAAGGCAACCTTGTGGTCAGCAGTCCAACATATAACATACTATGTCACCAGGGTTCCTTCCAATGAATATAAGTCCCTTTGTGAAAGACATTCTGTTCTCTATACGAGGGCCATCCTCATTTACTGACCCAAATCAGGGCAGAAAAGACAGACAAAGGCTTTCAACTGACAAGGGACAAACTGCCAGCAGACCTATGACACGCAATCCATTTATGAAGGAGGCTCTAGTGGTGTAGTCCACAGACCCCACGCTGCTAATCCAAAGGCAACTGGGATCCACCAGTGTGGCTCGCTGGGGGGAAAATGGGCAATCTCTTCTCAGAAAACCAATAAAGGGTTAGCTATGAGTCAGTTCTGACTCCATAACAGTGAGATGAACAAATGATGAACATCCCCACCTAACCCCCGTGTCCATTCTTTTGGGAAAGTGGTCCAATAAGGCAGTCTTGGGAATAAATTCTCCTTCGTACACTTCAAACTGAGAGTGAAGGAGGCAAGAGAACAAGGTTTAAAGTATATGCTACCACCCCCACACCAATACATCCATAATTCTCACTGTGGGCTCTAACTTGTGGGGGGGTGTGGTAAAAGAGAGATGACTAGAATAATCAGCAAAGACTTAGGTGGGTGGGAGGACCCTTCCTAATGAGGAACTCACATCCTTTAAGTCCCTTTTATGCTAAAAAACACTCTTTGGGGAAGCCCCAGGCTCAGGTACAACAAGAAGCTTTGCTTTTTGTGGGGAAGCTTTTCTGAGAGAATGTGAGACACAGGGCTCTAACACCTTCCTTTTATGGCCCTGTGGATAAGACCCAGTAGAATAGGGCCGGATTTCTCAATTTCTTGCCAGGGAGGGGAGGACTGCATTTCAAAAGGACCTAAAACAATTAGACCCCAGATCACACCTCCATCCAAGCAATAGGGTAGCAAAGAATCCTAAGCCAGCAGTGGGAGAGGGCCGATAGGGGACAGGACCCCAGGAAGACAGGGCCCTCTCATCTTTCCTCTGTAGTGGTCCCCTTCCCCCACTGCCCTCCCAATCCCCTTTCAAATGAAAAAGCCAGGACTGGGTCTGAGTTGGGTTAATGACAGCTATCATCAATTTGGCCCAAAATTTCCCTCTCTCAAGGGTCCAAGTGAAAAAGCCTACAGACATTCAGGGCTGCTTTTGCTTCTCTAGCCAAGGTTCTAAAAGAAGGCCCCTGTTGTATGTATGAGAGACAAAGGGCAGTGGTGGTGGGCGGGTTTCCTAATCCACTAACTCAACTCAGATGTTCTGACCCCCTCCCAGAGTGAATCACAGACAGCCTGACCCAGGGCAAAGATGGAAAACAGGGCTGGAGGAGCGTGGACATTATGTGGCTTGATGCATTAGCAGAGGCACCTCTTTTTTTATGTGCCTCTCTCTTCTTGCCTCTTACTTCCAAGCCTGTCACAGAACACATGCTCTTTCATGCACTTTTAGTTGACAAGGTGCCAGACCTGACAGAGTGGAATTGCCCCCTGGCAAGGCTGGTACAGTTCTACAATGCAAGTCGTGTTTTGGTAGCCTCTTACCTATTTGCATTACTCTCCCAAAGACTGACGTGTTGTCCACGGTGCTGCAGTTCCAGCGCCTCTGCCGGAACTGGTACTGGCACTCCTTGATGCCCGTCTTGGCCCCTTCCCCTATGTAGGCCATGTGCTCCTGGTACAACTGGCACAGCTTTCTCTGGCCAGGGGAGAGTCCAGGAAGCTGACTACACACAGGCTGAGCTCCGATGATGAACATCTCGGGTCTCTGCACCGGGTTCATAGCCAGTGACCTACAACAGTGAGCCAGAGAAAGACGAAAAGGCTGCGGTGAGCATACACCTGTGTCACCAGTCTGTCATTCAGGCCACACACTCACCAACACTCTCTGTGTCTGGGGCTTGGAAAAAAAAATTAGTAAGACAGAGTGCCTGTCTTTAAGGGACACCGTGAAGAAATCAAGCATGAGTACCTGTGACACATGAGATGGCAGGAGCTTGGGATTCTGGAGTCACTGTCCCCAAATAAAGATATCTTACAGCAAGCAGAGAAAAGGAAAGCTGTTATGAGGAGATGATCAGAATCTAAACCGGGTCATGAAAGACAGAGTGGGGGACAGATGGGGAAGGAGACAGAGGTTGCAGAATATTGACTTGGTCTCACTGTCATTGAATCAGAACTGACTCAGCTGACACTCTGTTGTGTTTCCAAGGCTGTAAACTACACAAGAGGAAACTGCTCATCTGTCTCTTGTGGATTTGAACCACCAGAGAGGTGCATGGGACCTTTGGGTTAGTGCAACTCCTTATGGATTACGCCACGAGAGCTGTCTATTCATCTGAGACAGAGGGCAAAAAAATCACCAAACCTGGACAGGAGGCACAAGACCTCTTCAAGTGGCAGAATTAGCTCTGTTTAGTCCAAGTACAACAAGCTCCGGTAACCTAGTGCAGTAAGATGCTGCATTGCAAAGCCAAAGGCAGTTGATTCGAATCCATAAGCTGTTCCTCAGGAGAAAGTTGGGCAATTTCCTCCCATGCAATTTACAGACTTCGAAAACCCATTGGAGGGTCAGGTATGAATAAGTTCTTAGTAACAATGAGGTGAACTCAAGTACAAGACGTGAGAGAATAAACTCCTTTAAACAGAAACTCTGTGGGCCTTTAAAACAGAGTCCAATTTACATATATCACAACACTTACTTCTGTATCTCACTTCACAGATCTCCCAACCCACTCTTTATCTACGCAGGGAAGGAGGGGTTGTCTCTCCCTTTTGCTTCTCATCTATCTGATACAGCAAAGTCGTAAGTCAGCTAACAGGCCTGTGGATCTGCCATCTGGGTGAAAAAGAGAGTGGGGGCGCAGACCTTGCGAAATAACAGTGGTCTGATCACCTGCCATTTCTATGTTGACTGGACAATGACCTCTGCATTAAAAATGAGAAAGAGGAAAGAAAGAAGACCACACATGATCCTACAAACCTCTCAGCCCGTCTCTGGACTTTTAAAACAAGCATTCTACTTTTCCTGACCTGCTCCCTACCCACTCCCCTACCTCAGAGACATCAATATTCTTATTGATCCAATAGCAACAAGAGAGCTATTTCTAAAAATCCATTAAGAGAAGTCTGGGAAAGAGTGTGAAGGATTAGAGGAAAGTTAAATGACGTTCTGGTCCTTATCCTTGACGTGTCCTTTACCCCTAGGGGCTGGAGAGAGAAAAAGAGCTCTCATTTCTCTGGATGAAAGAAGGTCATTAGTATTAGAAATAAAGGGATGACAAAGCATACAGTGACCTCAAATGTCCAAACAGGGAGGTCTGGGCTTGGACCTGAGGACTGGAGTCCTGCTCACTCACCACCACGAGTTGGCTTCCGCGAAGAGCTGCGCCCAGCTGGAGAGCAGAGCAGCTGCGGTGAACAGCAGCAGCAGGCCAGGCATGGCGGGCCTCGCCCCCGTCCAGTGTCCTGTGAAGGCCCCGGGGACCGACAGCTTCCGAGACAGGACTCCCTGGAGAAAGCAGACACGAAAGGTGAATTAGTGTGGAAATACAACAAATAAGGGAAGACCCGGGAAGAGGGCTGGGGTGGTGGAAACCGCCGAGGATGATGAGCTCTGAGGTTAAGTTCTGGTCCCTTCAGTGGAATCCGGGCTCCTTCCACCTCCATTTCCTATTGCCTCTCTCACTATAGAATTTTTTTATGTCTTTTTTTTTTATCTTACAAAAGATCCAATTCCAATGTGATGAGAAACTGAAAGAAACAGAAGCAAAAGAGTTCAAGAGCAGAGTGTGTTTTATGCAATATTTTAGAAGAAGACACTCTGGTTCTTGCAAAGTACACCTGCTTTTCTTTCCAAAGAAATGAAGAGGGCCATCCCATCCACTCCTCCCTTTACTGCTCACCCCAACCCAAAGGTCTCCTGTGTGGGGTTAATATACATATATATATGACTTAGATTTACTCCCATCTAGAGGAGCCTTCCCCTTCCATGCCCACTCTCTCACTCCCATCTTTGTTTACCGTTTGCTAAACAAAGGGTAACAGCAGCAGAAGTAAAAGAAGGGCTCTGCACTTTTGCAAGGCAATTGATCTGAGAAAGGTGACTGCCATCCTGAGAACTACAGCTCTCAGGGCTGAGGGGAAGCCTCCCTAGGTGGCCCTGTGTCCTGGGGGGGACATGAACATCTTTCCCAGCAACACCCTGAGCAGCAGTGGGAACATGGCTTGACCGTGGTCTGGATCTCCTGTATCAGATGTCTCTGTAGTGCATGAAGCAAAGCCCCCATCCCTTGCAGTAGACCTCACAACCTGGCATTTTCCTCTTTTTGTAATCAACGCCTGTGTGTCCAAGAAACATCTTTCCTTGAGGTCTTGGAAAACATTTGGAAGGCCCACGGGTATGGATTGTACAGCAAACACACGTCCATCCTTATCCACTCAGCCCCACTCCGTTTCCCTCTCTGTGGTCATCTGGGGCGTGACCACGCATCCCCAATGAGCCTTCTTCCCACAAGCCCTTAACACCTCCATGTCTGCACACACGAACACTCCCAGCCGCCCCCACCCCGGCTCACCAGGCCGATCCCGTGGTTCTGGGTCTCCGGGCTCTCCGGGAGGGGGCGGCAGGTGCTTTGGCTCATAAGTCTAGAAAGCAATGTTTGTCTTGGGGCCACCAAAAAAGGTTGGTGGGCGGCTGAACAGGACCTAGGGACGAATTCCCCCACTCCCTTTTGGTTTTTTTCTTCTCCAAGTCTCAGCTGGGACGGGGGGCACCAACAGGCAGGTGTGTGGGGCCAGCAGGGGGCAGATCAAAGAAGAAAACTTGCTCGTTTCCCCTTTGTCATGCAGAGTTCGCTCGGAAATGATCTGGCCTTAATCCCAGCCGACCAACAGCTCCCAACACCCTACCTTCCTTCAGACGGCTCCTCCTCTAAAGGGATGCCCCCTTCCCCTCGACCCTCTACCCCCAATAAATAATCCTCCCCCATCCCTCAGGGCAGGAGGTCTGTGAATGCACCGACTGGAACCAAGAGATGGAGTAGAGATAGGACTGGCACCAGAACCTAATGGCTTTATGGAGGGGAGGGGACCAGGTTCAGAGCAGCAAGGACAAGAGAAAAGCTTCAAAGAGCTTCCTTGTCCAAACATCCCCAACTCCACCTACCAGGCCTTGGGGAGTCCGAGCTGCCCTCTTCCCCTTAGGCCTCCCTCCTCACCCCGTCTCCTCGACCTCCGTTCCCACCACCATGCCTCAGGCGAACCCCCTACTCCCTGGCCTGACATATATCCTCACACATCGCCACTGCCTGATAGCCGAGTTTTCTCTCCCAACTGGTGACACTTCTTATCCTCCTTGGTGCAGCCCTCTCACCAGCGTCTCTCACCTCTGTCACACCCGTTCATCAGGCTCCTTTTAAATCTTTCTGCTTCTGCAAGTCCTACATCCAGCTGGAGCCACACTGGGGGCCGCCATGTCTGAGCCAAGTTCAGGCAGGAGTCACTGCCTGCTATGTCTCTGTGGCTTTGATTCCCCCCCAACCCAGTCACAGGCTGAGGGGGGGGGGCTAAGGCCACACTCACCAAGAGCTGCTAATCCCGCCCCTGCTTGCTTTTAAAACGTAAATGGAGACAGAAATCACTCCCAGTAACTTGTTGCTACTATCCTGTGCTTTCCACCAAACCCTCAATTAAAAAAGAAGGGAAAGTCTGCAGTCTACGTGATGGCTTCTTTCCCTGCTTCCAGATGCGTGGTACCTGAAACTGAACACTCCCCTTCATCTACCTCCCTGCTGCCCTCTCACCTGGCAGACAGATGTGGGCTTCCCCTGGGAGTGGGAATACAGCCTGAAGCCACAAGCCAGGCAGCTTGCTTTCCCTGCATGGGTGGAAGAGCAAGGAGTTAAGAGAAAGTCAGAGAGGTAAAAGTTAGCAACTAGGTGAGCTGGCATGAGGAGCCTAGAAACTTCTTCCCGCCACCCAGGCTGGGAGTAAGGAAGCTGTGTGATGAGCGATGGTTTAGTCTTGATGAGCAGGCCTCACCGAAAAGCCTCCCTTGCAGGTCACTAGTGAGTTTTACAGCAGAATTCAACCAGGGGGGCTTCTCCTTTGTGTAGGAAGATCTAGTAAATGATCTGAAGGCGCAGAGAGAGAGAATTCCTACAGCTGCCATTACAACATTTACAGGTTTCCTCGGGAAAACGAAACTGTTTGCTTTTCCAAGACAGGCGACTCTCATTCAAATATACCACTATTGAACGGAAGGAGAGAATCAGGATACAAAATCTTCCAGGAAGGCCCTTATAGAGAGCCATTGGCTCTGCCCTACTTCTTCATTGATTAATTCATTCACTCAGTCATTCGTGAGGTATGCACTGAGTGCCTAGTATATGCCAGGCTCTTTCCCAAGTGCCAGGGACATGGCAGTGAATGGATAAATGGCACACTATGTTAAAAACCCAAATCAAGCCCATTATCGATGAGTCAGTTCTGACTCATAGTGTTAGAATGGCCCCATAGCTTATTCAAGGCCCCACACCTTTTATAGAAAGCCTCACCAAGGCTGTGTATCTTTACAGAAGACGACTACCATATCTTGCTCACACGAAGGGCTGATATGTTTTGGTCAGTAGCTGAGTCTTTTACGATTGCACCACCAAGGTTCCTGTGGTATGCTGTTATGGTTATTATGTGTTGGAGAGTCTAGAACTCAGCACGGCCTGAATAATGGCTCTGAACCTTGCCCTATCCTGAGCCAGCCTCACTATCTCTTATACATCTGACCCCACTGCCACAGCCACTGTGTCCATCCTTTTAATCCTCTTTTGCACTGTCCCTCCACCCTTCCAGGCATCACACCTGTCTCCAAGGACTGAACTCTCCTGACAACATGGCCAAAGTATGTGAGATGGAGTTTCAACATTCTTGCTTCCAAAGAGCAATCTGATTTTGCCTTCTACAGGACAGACCTGTTTGTTCTCTTGGCAGGATGTTCAGTGTTCTTCTCCAGCACCTCAACTCAAAGGCGCCGATTCTTCTTCTGTCATTCTTCGTCACTGTCTAGCTCTCAGATGCTCAGCAAGCAACTGAGGAGACCATGGACTGGATCAGGCACACCTTAGTCTGCAGACTGACATCTTTGCTCTTTAGCACTCTGGTGACCCAGTACAACTTGTCTTTTGTCTCCTGACTGCTGGTGCCAAGGGAACTGACAGTGGATCTGAGCAAGATGAAATCATTAACAACTTGAATCCTTCCTCTTATCTATCATGGTGCTGGCTGCTGTCGCAGTGGTGAGGGAGCTATGTTAGGTCCTATGAATGTTATGAGGAAAACTAAAACAGGGACAAGAATAGAGAATCATAAGGAGTGATGGTTTGAATTATTTAACGTTCTTGGGGAAGGTCATTCTCTGAATACCTGGACAGCCCTCTCCTATCCATCATGTAAATAGGATGGAAGTAGGGGGTAACCCCCTTCTTACCCAGGACTCCTCTTTACTGTGTCTGAACTACTCTGTTTTACCAACACAACCATCTAGTCCAGCTCAGTCAATCTCGACTCATGTGGACCCCTGTGAGTCAGAGCAGAGCTTTTCCATAAGATTCTTAATGACTGACTTTTTTCAGAAGCAGATCATCAGGACTTTCTCCCAAGATACTTCTGGGTGAACTCAAATCTCCACAACCTTTTGGCTATCAGTTACGTACATCAAGCATCCAGACCATTCAAGGACTCAGGTTGCACATCACTTGAAAACAGAAATTCCATTCAAGGTCTCTCCTTTGGTCTCGGTTATCCATTTTTAATCCCCTTAAGGGATCCAGCCCAAAGTTAGGAGACAGGACAGATCTGAGACCTCACACAGCTCTGTAATTAAGAAGCATCTCTGTGCTTTCCACACACACGTGAAAGAATGCTTGGGATGAACATTCCAACCCATGAGGCGAAGGGCTGGTTTCAGCTTGGTCACTGAATGTGATGGTCAAGACCAAGTGAGTTGCCCTACAGTCAAGCAGCAAGTCACACAGGAAATGGTGCCACACTTCCACACCTGCCCCCTTCCTCCAGACAGGAAACTGACCCAGAAATAACAAAGCACTTAGACTAGCAGCCTATTTAAGGTTGCCACTGGCTAATTTCTTACTTTGTAATCCAATGGGGAGCTACCAGGTACATAATTTAAAAATACATTTGCAATTTTATGAACATTCCTGGCATAACAAGGTAGGAACGCTTAGGAGTCCTTGGAAAGGGAATGCCTCCCTTTGTGAGGCAGAGGCTGCAAGGTTGTTGAGGTATGTGTATACTATTCAAAGATTTCGTTCCCTGGGGTGGGAGCCAGGTGGAGAAAGGAGCAGCTATAACAAGGTTAAAGTCCTTTGCCTTCTCCACATGGCCACTTCACTTGCACCAGTGCAGAGAAAGACAAAGGATCCCTGGTAGCAAAGTTAGTTAAGTGTGGGGCTGTTAATTGAAAGGATAGCAGTTCAAAGCCACCATCTCTGCAGAGGACAA